CGCCGACGGCTCTTGCTTCTGTATGCTTTGCGTTTCGCGGCTATGCTGTCTGAGAAATTGGCTTCGCGGGCGTCGACGGTGGCACCGAGGAAGTGGGCGCGCGCCTCGTCGGCGTTGATGCCTTGGCGATCGATATCAGAGTTGTCGCCAGCGTCGTCGTCTACGTTGGAGGCGGTGCGAAGAGTTGTGGTCTGTTCGCCGATAAGCTGTCAGAATGGGGAAGGACACCCGCGCGCGGACGATAGACATGGCAGCGAACCGGGATAGTAGAAGCTCCGTCGGTCAGATCGGGAGTCTCGTAGATATCGGGAGCGAGATCCTGCACGTCGTTGTTAGATCTTAGTCCGGCCGGACTACTGGCAATGGAGATGTGCTGACCAGGTCAGGAAGACCGGCGTATTTCCGGTTGAAAGACATGGCGTCCAGCTATGTGATTGAGTGCGAAAATTGATCTACTGTTGCGGGGAAGGGCTGGAGATGAAGTGATCCTCAAGAGGAAGTGAAGGGGAATGTTTGTTCACGTGCCAGGGGCGGGTAAACACATTACGAAGGAACCATACATACAGTCCGGAACTACGATACACTACTATACAGTAAATTACAGTACATACAGCAACAACAACAATAACAATAGAAACAATAATCATGACATTATTGACTATCAAAGGCAAGGGTGATCAGAGCGTCTTCGGCGGCGCGGCGGTTAGAATTACTCCGCAACACATGTTTTCCAGACCGGAGTTTCCTCAAGCCAACCTCGGCCGCAATTGCCCCATTTTGATTTAATCGAGAGAAATGGCATTGAACGAGGCTGCAGTAGAGGGAAGCGACGATCACATGAAGGGGCCGATTGACCCTCTTCAGCACTACCTACCAGTTACCGAGATGTACAGTAGTACCCTTTAAAGCGTCCTTGTCCCACCCGTCAACTTGCTCCTTCAATCCTGCACTGTCCCTCTCGCTTATCCCTCTACTGGAAATATATCAATTCTTCTCCTCTTCTCTATCCTTACTCCTCGCTAGCATATCTTAAAACCTATCCTCATTTTGCGTGAAATTCTTACCCCTCAGCACCGAAAATGGCCGCCCCCGCAGAAGTCACCATCAAGAATCTCAGCGGAGAGTGGACAATGGTACGCTGGATAATGACATGATGCTTCATCACCAACCAAATGAAAAGTTCCGTAACTGATAAAACCACCTACAGAACAAAACCCTGTCCAACCCTACAGACGCAATCCTGTCACTGGTATACACATCCCCTCACTTCTACCTCGGTATCTTCAGCTCTCCCCAAGACTGACAAGTCCCTACGCAGCAAGGAATGAGCTGGCTCACTCGTAAAGCCCTCAACCTCGCCACCATCACCCTCCACATCGACACCCACCCGGACCCGGAGGACTCTACCATCATCCACATCAAGATCGACCAGACCTTGACGGGTGGCATCAAGGGAACCAGTGAGAACCGCATCAGCGACGGCAAGAAGCGCGAACACACCGACCACATCTTCGGCCATGTGGAGGGCCAATCGCGGTTCATCCGCGGGAGCAGCAGCAGCGATGGCAAAGCCCGTCCCAACTTCGCGTTCCTGATCAAGAGCGAGGATCCCAAGGTGGCCCAGTTCCTCAACGGGGAGATCCTGGCGGACGGGAAGCCGGCGGACGGATTCGTGGTTGAGGATCTGGGCCAGGAATTCGGCGAGGGCGAGGGTCTGTGGTTCCAGAGCTTTGTGGAGAGTCTGGACAACGGATGGACGGCAGAGCAGGTTCGTGTTCTCTCTCCCTCGTTCACTAATCAGTATTGATGGTGGCGGAGCATATCTCGTATCGATGCATACGCTGACTGAAGTGCTGGTAGATCTGGGGCTTTGAGGTGATCGATGGGCAACGCTACTACACCCGTCGTGTAGTTGTTGCAAAGGATAAGCACGTCGAGATGGCCAGGTTCGTGTATAGTTATGCTGGCCCGAAGAAGGAGTAATTTCTATCAGCCAACAAGGAGTGGGTTGTACTGAGGATTGGGCGGGAGAATGTTCGATAGGAGTGCTCTGTGCCTATCATCTTTATGTGGCAGGTCTACTGTAAAGTATTATTACGTCCCGCTCGTTCAGTGTCCGAGACCAGACTGGCCGGTTTTCCTCGCGAAGCTGTTCAGAATAGACCTAATTGAATCTTATTGATACAAAACTTGATGCATGCACTTGTTCGATCTAATCGACACGGTTCACTGAAATGAGTCTCAAATTACAGTACACAGACGCCTTCATCCTCAGCAATTTGTTCACGAGCCGCCGTTAAGATGCAGGTATAACACTCCTTCCTCGGAGATTCAATTTGAAGAACAATGATTTTAACAAGGCTAATTCAGCAACCCAGCGTGAAAGCTAACACCGTATAGAGGCATGATGCAACATTCAAGGTATTTTTGATTTCTATTCAATGTTTTCCCTTGTTTCCATCGACCTTACGAGTGTGTGGGCATCACAACATGGGCCTTGGTGCTGATCGCATCCTCGCTGCGCCACAGGCTAGTCACAGTCTTCTGCTGAGTGTAGAACTGCAAACCAGGCTTGCCGTAGAAGGTGTTGGCACCGCCACCGGCGATACTCTTCTTGTTACCGGTGAAAGAGAACATGGGCAGCGGGACAGGGATCGGCACGTTGATGCCGACCTGGCCGGCCTCAATGTCCTTCTGGAAGCGCGAGGCAGTCGGGCCAGAGCGGGTGAAGACGGCCGCGCCGTTACCGTACGGGTTCTTGTTGATGAGCTCGATAGCGTCATCGAGCGTAGGCACCGACAAGCAGATCAGAACAGGGCCGAAGATCTCCTCTGTGTAGCACTTCATCTCAGGGGTCACGTTGGTGATGATAGTAGGTCCAACCTAGAGAAGAGAGATTTCATGAGTCAAGATTCAATGCAGCACTTGCGGAGACCACTTACAAAGTTGCCGTTGGGGTACTTCTCGGGCTTGTAGCCACGACCATCCAACAGGATAGTGGCACCCTCTTCCTCGGCGCTGGCAATCAGATCCTCGATGCGCTTCTTGCTCTGGGGGCTAATGACCGGGCCAAGATCCGCACCCTCTTCAAAACCACCATTGACATTCAATGCCTTGGCCCGCTCAGCGATCTCGGGCAGCCATTCCTGGGTTTCCCCGACCATCACCACTGTGCTCAGGGCCATGCAGCGCTGACCAGCAGCACCGAAGGCAGCGCCAACAATAGCATTGAGGGTTTGGTTCTTGTTGCAGTCCGGCAAGACCGCGGCATGGTTCTTCGCACCCAGATTCGCCTGGACACGCTTGCCATTTGCGGAACCCCGGGTATAGATGTACTCACCGGCACGGTTACCGCCAACAAAGCTGATAGCCTTGATGGAAGGTTCATCGAGGATGAAATCAACCGTCTTGGCGGAGCCATGCACGATGTTGACCACACCGGGTGGGAAACCAGCTTCCCGAGCCAGCTCTGCCAGAATCATGGCTGCGCCGGGGTCACGTTCGGAGGGCTTGAGAATCAAGCAATTACCGGTAATGGTGGCGACAGGGATCGACCAGAGGGGAATCATTGCGGGGAAGTCTGGGAACCCGCGGTTAGCCTCGGCAAATACCGCCGGTCGAGGAATATACTAACTGAAGGGACAGATGGCGGCCACAACACCCAGAGGCTCGCGGTAGCTTCGAGTCTCCATATCCTTGGCGACTTCGAGCACCTCGCCTGTCAATTGGGTGGTGATGCCACAGGCGGTTTCAGCCACTTGAAGACCACGGAGAACGTCGCCCTTGGCATCGGCAAAGGTCTTGCCCTGCTCCAGGGTGATCGAGGCAGCCAGGCGATCCCAGTGAGCCCGGATCAGGCTAACAAACTTGAACATGATCTGCTGTTTGGCAATCACGCTGGTCGCGCGCCAGGCCGGAAAGGCCTTTTGGGCGGACTCAACGGCAGCCTTCAGCTCCGCATCGGTACTCTGAGGCACACGAGTGATGAGGTTGTTGGTGGCTGGATCATGCAAGTCAATCCAGGTGGTTGCCTTAGATTGTACAAACTCGTTGTCCAGAAAGTTGGTAGTATCGATGGGGTTCGAAACAGGGCTGTGATCGGTAGGATAGTCGGTGGCGGTGGAGGCCGCGGAGGTGGTTGCGGGGGTGCGTTGCTGGGCTGTGGCATGCAGACTGCGAGTGGTAGAAGGGGATGAAGATGCCAGGAGAGAAGAGGGAGCCATGATAGCGGTAGAGAGATGTCTGGATCGTGAAGCTAAAGCTGCAGACGTTCTGGTGGCGGATAATCTGGGGACGGTGAGGGCCGTGCGGGGGGCAGCAGCGCGGAGAGTGGGGAGAGAGCGGGCAAGAGAGCGATGGGCGGCCATCATGGGAAAAAGGGAAGAAGAGAAATTAAGAGTGACTGGGGGTCTGATTTATAGAGAAGTACTAGGTTGTTGACAGCACAGACGTTGTGACAGCTCAGCGCGTGAGGAGAAGGAGGGGGGGGAAGCTGCAGGAGGGACTCGGAGGGATAGCTACTACTTAATAAGAAGTTGGAGTAAGTTTCCCCAGGTTTGGCCCTCCGTTCCTGGCCGCCGAGGCTCCGTCACTAAGTCACTGGATCACAACAATCACTGATAATGAATGCGGTTATCGCCCTTCCTCGGCGTTGACCACCAATCATCATGCCCCACGGAACTACTTGCCAATCTGGTCATCTCTACAGGAGTACTAGGTAGGTACTAGGTATCCGGTCCCGATCATCTCTCAATTCATCCATCCGCTCCTCCTGGCAGGTATACTACAATGACCTAGAAGGGATTTTCATCGTTCTTGAAACTAGGCAGGACGTTCCGATCGGAAGTCTTTGTTTGCACTTATAAGTTAATATCTAGTGGATTTAGTATTACCTCTTTTCCGCGGACAGATGCAATTGTCGGATTCTCATTTCTGAGACTTCTCACAACTCCAACCGCAGGAGGAAGATACTCCAAGGTGAAGACTCAATTACTAAGCTAGGGACGATCTTAAACCATATGATTGATGTTCTTCCATCAGTTACTCATCAATTACTTTACAGGTCTCAAAACAATTCGAGGCAGGCCTTTCGAGTGTGGCGTCCATATCGCATCACAGACAGGAGCAGGAGCAGCCTTTCTTCTGGCCGTGCCAACCAACATATTTGGAATAAAAGAACAAATCGTGGATTGAACGCTGCAACAGGTAGGTATAATATGGAAATCGAGAGAAAACAAAATATTGGGTCGGAAGCTGTCCCTCCCCACAGAATGCTCACTTTTGGGCCGCGTCATCTCTAATCTCTCCCCAGAGTCAACAAGGCAGGCCCGTTTACTCGGCAGAGGAGCGAGTCTGGCGCTTGGTGGCGCCGCCCTTGCCAGTGTTAGTAGCAGAGCTAACAGCCTCCGCAGCCTTCTCCTTGGCAGCGCTGGCAGCCTCCTTGCCCTTCTTAACCGGAGCGGCAGCCGGGCTGCTAGCACCGACAGCACCCACGATCAGGAGCACCATGGTAACAAGCACGGCGGCGAGACCACCAGCAACATCAGGAACCTGTTTCACAGCAGCGATGGGGTCCTGCTTGGCCAAGCCAACGAAACGATCAACCTTCTCGCGGACGTGGGCCACGGGGTTCTCCTTGAAGCTGACGCTGGGCTCGACAATCTGCTCCTCCGGCTTGGGCTTGTTGGCCTCCTCCTCAGCCAGTTCGATGGGGTGCTTGATATCAAAAGTCTCCTTGCGGAGCTGCTCGGCATCTTCTTCGGAGTGACCAATGTAGATGTTGTCAAAGAGAATGTCGTTCTGCATAGTCCAGATTTCGAAACCAATCTGTCAGGAATTAGTCAGGTTGTTCACGCAACAGCCGAGATGATGGGGGATAACTTACGGCGCCCATGGGCTCGAAGTTGGAAGGAGTCTTGTCCTCGAAGTAGGCGGGGTTGGCAATCTTGCGGGGGGCCCAGGGACCCTTGTAGGCGGGGTTGTCGACCAGAGGAGCAGTCCACTTGCCCTTGTAGGCGGGGTTCTTGATCAGGGGAGCAGTCCAGGGACCACAGCCAGCAGCCTCCTGGCACTTGGGGTTGGGAACAGTGGGAGGAACCCAGTCGCCGTCCTCCTCATCGTCCCAGTCCTCGGGCTTCTCGGCCTCGGGGTCAGGAATGCTGGTGGGCTCATCCTCCAGCCAATCCTCGGGCTTCTCGGCATCCTCATCAACAATCTCGTAAGGAGCGTCCTCATCCCAATCCTCGGGCTTGGTGGCCTCAGGGTCAGCGATCTTGGACTCGTCGACCCAGTCGGAGGGCTTCTTGTCCTTAGGATCATCAATCTCCTTCTCGGGGTTGACAGCAGGACTGAAGTCCTCGAGCAAGTTACCGCTCTTAGCCTCCTCACCATCAATCAGAATGGAGAAAGTCTGATCGGGGCGGACAATCAGAGTGTACAGGGAGGTGACCTTGTTGGTACGAGCGGCGGGAGGAGCCTTCAGGTGCTTCTCCTCGTACTCGCCGGTCTTGGGGTTCTTGTGACGGAAGATGAAGTGCACCTAGAAAATGATTAGTTGCTGCTACACACGTCAATTGTTTGCAGAAGGCCAATGTACCTTGTTGGTGGCACCGCACTTGTCGGGACCGAACATGATAACGTAAGGAGAGGCGTTGGAGAACTCCTCAGACTGGAGCTTCTTGTTGTCCTGGAGAAGCTTCAGGTAGGCACCACCACAAACCAGGGAGTCTAAAAGCGAATGGTCAGCAACCCTTCGAGTTGGCCGTACATATGCGATGAACAGGACGTACTCTGCGGCTTGACCTCATACTGGACAACCAGGGTCTTGTCCTTGTTGTCGATCTTCTTGGGGAACTTGGAGGAGATGGCGTGGTGGGCAGCAACATTCTTAACGACGAGACCCTTGTCTCCCTCGATTCCCTTCAGCACAGTAGGCTCTTCGACAGACCATTCGCCAACATAGGCCCAGTCCTCCTCAGACTTGGAGTCCTCCTTCTTGGCGTGGGAAGGAGTCCACCGGCTATCCCAGTCATCGGTGAACTGCTCCAAGAAAGGAGCCTTGAGGGTGGTAGGCTATTGGTGCGGAGTCAGCATTATGCAACTGTGGTCAGAAAGAACCGGGCGACGATTCAACATACGGTGAAAGTAGGCTTCTCCGCAATGGAGGTGGTCTCGGGCTTCTTCTCGGTCTCGTCAGCATGGGCCATGCCCATGATGGAGGCCGAGGAGACCAGGGCGGAAGTCAAGGCAGCATTGAAACGCATTGTGAATGGGGATTGGCGCTCTGGAGGCTAGAACAACGAAAACAAACACACGAGCGCACCCGCGAATTAACCTCGATGGGCCGGGTGACTGTAGGAGAGAATATCTCAAAGAAGTCGCGGTACAATGGGGCGACAAGCAGGGATGGGGGAGGGTGGGAGGTGGAGGGTATGTGAAGACAGAAGAACGGGGGAGAATGGGGGAATTGGAAGGTTGGTTATATAAGAAGCTGCATGAAGCTGGGAAGTTCCAGGTGGCCTCTTCCTCTCTCTTCCGCGGCCGCTGCTTCTTTGGGGCCCGCGGGTAAGGTCCCGCCTGCCCGATTTGGTTTAGCCAGCCTGCCACAGAATTACGCCGTCTTAGCGCGTATTCGCTCTGTTTCCTCTGTTTCGGTACTGTCATTGGGGTAATTTAGCAGAAACACTGCTTGTGCTACCCCAGCTGTGGTGCATGACCTGCTTGATGTTCGTGCTCGTAAGATTCAAATAGATCAGATATGCCTCTACGTCTGTCCCTTGAGAGCAAAAGCGCCCCTACTTTTATCAGGAAAATATGCTTTGGGGGCTTCGAATCCAATCTGTCATCCATCATGTACTGCTTGTCCGCCAATGACAACCAGCCGATGGCGCAAGTGTTTCTCCCCCCGCTACCTTAATTGAAATTAATGGCCGATGCTTCTCTTCCCCTCCCCGCCCAACGTCTTTTTTTTTCGACCTCCCCTCTTCTCTTCCTGTCACACCACAACATTTGTCGCTGTGTGACTCGAGACATACCGATTGTCGCAAGGGCATATAAGTCAGGAGGTTTTCAGTCACTCACGGACAACAGACTAGAGAGGCGCTGCGGTCACTTTCCAGCCGCCATCACGGACCACCGGGATCTACACTGCCAATTTGCGGAGGCACAACAACCCCAACAATAATCACCATGTGCCAAGAACACGAGAACCAGAACAATGACCACCTGGTCCAATCCTCCGATCCGGAGCACCCGGCTAACCTGATTCCCGATCTCTGTCGCCGGTTCTACAACTGGGGTTGGGTTACCGGTACTGGTGGTGGGGTACGGAGCTGTCGCAATCCTCGAGGATGACCCAAAATGCGTGTGCTAATTCGAAACGTTCTGTGTAGACTTCCATCCGCCAGGGCGAACACATCTTCATCGCGCCCTCCGGTGTGCAGAAGGAGATGATGAAGTCTGAGAACATCTTCGTCCTGCAGTTCCCCACGCCCAAGTACCCCCCGTCTGAGCGCAAGTACATCCGCAAGCCTCTCAACCTGAACCCCTCCGCTTGCACTCCTCTGTTCTTGGCCGCCTTTGAACGTGGCGCCGGATGCTGCATTCACACCCACTCCCAGTGGGCCGTCCTGGTGACGCTTTTGGTCGAGCGCGAAAAGGGCCCCGATGCCTGCTTTGAGATCAGCAACATCGAGCAGATCAAGGGTATTCCCGCTGGAAAGGGCAAAGGCTACCTGGGCTTCTTCGATACCCTGCGCATCCCCATCATTGACAACACGGCGTTCGAGGAGGATCTGACTGGTAGCTTGGAGAAGGCGATGGATGCGTACCCGGACACCTATGCCGTCCTTGTCCGTAGACACGGAATGTAAGTCATCGCGCTCGCGTATCATTTGTATGGTTGACTGGTGACTAACTGGGGGCGCATCTAGCTACGTCTGGGGTGACAATGTTGCCAAGGCAAAGACTCAGTGTGAGAGCTTGGACTATCTGTTCCAGCTGGCTGTGGAAATGCACAAGCTTGGTCTTCCCTGGGTGAAATAAGGATCTTGTTCGTCAGTAGCATAGCCATGGTGAGGAAGCGGAGTTTATATATATGGGATGAAAGCGTGGTCAAAGTTGATTATGGAAGAGAGAGATTCACACGAGCTTTCATGCAATGACGAATGTATGCCAATCGCACAGCATATTTCTGTAGTGTAGAGTAGACACGACCAACCCTTTCGTATATGAAGCCTAATTCATGTCATACTTGTACAACTAGTAGTTAAGTAAATAATAAGTTACTGTAAACAGCTCGTTGGGTGGAGGGTCTTGGCGGGAGAAGCCTAAACCATTCGGAGTTGGCGCGGAATCCTCAGGCTCGTCAAGGCGGGCCGCCCTGTCGACGGACGGACTGACTGACTGAATTGCTCCCCCGTCATCGCCAATCACTCCTCCATCCCGCGGTCCCTCCTTCACCTCCTCCTCCTCCTTCACCTCCGTCCCTCCGTCCCTGTCTTCCTCGCTATTCGGACACCATTTCACCAATTCCATACTCCGAACTCAAATATCTCTCGCATCCCTGTTCCTATTTGATCCTAATTCATGGATCTCGACGCAGGAGATTCCCCGTGGGGCGGTAAGCAAGACATCAGGCAGTCACGGATACAATCGCAATCGTGTCTCCTCTAACGCACCGCATGCAGACGTCCCATCTCAGTCGCCCCCCACCCATACCGCTCCCGAATCTGACACTCAAGAGACATGTTCGTCTTCTAATATCTCCTTTATTGCTGTCCGCATAATCTAACCGACATTGACACAGCTCCCGACCAACCGACACAGCCAGCTAGCTCCAAAAATGCTTCCCGTTCTCCCGTCCGAAGAGGCCCCAGGGGCACCCGCCGGATCAATGCGCAGGCGACCAAGTTAGAAGCCGTCGACGACTCTTTCGACCCCCTCGGTCCGCTTGGAGACAAGGCCACGGAAAGCAGCCCCAACGAACAGGCTCCGACCCCACCGCAAAAGGAGGCGTTCGGCGCGCGCGGCGTGCGTCCGACCTCTTCGGCATCGCAGGCATCCAGTAGTGCGGCGCTGGGAGAGTCTGTAAATCTTGAAGAGGATGGTGCGGGATTCCGACGCCCTCCGCCGGTCCAGCCCCCGAGTGATGCGGAGGGTTCGAAGCGACAGTCCGAGCCCAGCATCAGCGTCGAGAAGGCCGCGAATCCGACTTTTGACATCACTGTTGGCGACCCGCACAAAGTTGGAGATCTCACGAGCAGTCATATCGTGTATCAAGTCAGGACGAAGGTATGGATGTCGCTTGTCGGGCTGCGGGCTAGTCGGCCACTTTGGTTGAGAGGACGCTAACGCTGGATTCCAGACGACCTCTAAAGCCTACAGACAACCGGAGTTCACGGTCAGCCGGCGATACCGCGACTTCTTGTGGCTCTACAACTCCATGCACAACAACAACCCCGGTGTCGTTGTTCCTCCACCCCCGGAGAAGCAAGCAGTAGGTCGGTTCGATACGAACTTCGTCGAATCTCGAAGAGCTGCCCTGGAGCGCATGTTGAACAAGATTGCGGCGCATCCCATTCTTCAACATGATGGGGACCTGAAGATTTTCCTGGAGAGCGACACGTTCAACCTTGACGTGAAGAACAAGGAAAATCGGGAACCTGATCTCGGGCAAAGCAAGGGCATGTTTAGTTCTTTCGGGATTAATGTTGGTGGAGGTGGGAAGTTTGTTGAACATGACGATGTAAGCGGCATCCCCGAGCCACATGGAACTCTTGACTGACAAATCTGCAGTGGTTCCATGACCGCAAGATCTATCTCGATGCATTGGAGAATCAGCTGAAGGCGTTGCTGAAGTCTGTCGACTCTGTGGTGGCTCAGCGGAAAGGATTGGCCGAAGCAGCGGGCGACTTTTCTGCATCAATTCACGCCTTGGCTGCTGTCGAGCTCTCTCCTGCACTGTCGGCCCCCTTGGAGGGTCTTTCCGACCTTCAGCTGCGTATCAGGGAGTTATATGAGCGTCAAGCACAGCAGGATGTTCTCACCCTCGGAATTACTATCGACGAGTACTTGCGACTGATTGGCAGTGTCAAGACAGCGTTCACTCAACGACAAAAGGCATTCCACAGCTGGCATGCGGCCGAGGCTGAATTGCAGAAACGCAAGCACACCCAGGAGAAACTGCTCAGGCAAGGAAAGACCCAACAGGATCGCCTCACGCAGATCAATGCCGACGTGGCCGATGCTGAACGGAAATCCCATCAGGCACGGTTGTTGTTCGAGGATATGGGCCGGTTGATGCGGAATGAACTCCAGCGATTCGAGAAGGAGAAGGTGGAGGACTTCAAGTCTGGTGTGGAGACATTCCTGGAGAGCGCCGTCGAAGCCCAGAAGGAGGTATGTGTTTCAGGTTCAATCTCCGAAATACCATATACTGACTGATGCAGTTGATCGAACTGTGGGAGACCTTCCTCATGCAGCTCGACGCGGGAGAAGAAGGCAATTTGCTGTATGGTGCACCTGGGGCAGGCGATGCTCCAACCGAATCAGTTCCGGAGACAGCCCCAGTCGAAGCAGCGGAAGAGGCTTAAATGATATCCCGTTCTCCTTCGCCTCTGTATAAAATAACCCGCCACGACTCATTGGCGGCCCTCCAACTGTCATAGTCTTTATACTCCTTGTGTCTCGTTTGCAATCCCTCGGTGCGGCGCACAGTTGTTCATATCCGGCGAGTTCTTAACAAGTACGCAACCCAGATAACTGTTTAGCAGCGCATTTAAGCCCTTACTTTTTTTCACCTCATGTAGTCTAATCCCATGTCAAATTTGAAACAAATGGACAAACAAGAAAACTCCATTCAAATGGGTGCGTGGTATGATGACGATGTGTGTGTATACTGTACATATAAAAAACAAATTTGGGTGGGGGGGGGGGGGGGAGGGAAAAACGATCCCACAACAACGATCCCAGAGACACCTCCCCATCTTCAAGCCCGTCACATAGTACAAATCTAGCTGGGGTAAAATAAAAAGGAAGGCACAAAAAAGGCCGGGGCGAACAATCAACCTCGCCCCCTCCTTTCGTTTCGCTTCAACTTCCTCAAACAAACGACTAAGACCCAAATCACCACTTCTTCTTCTTCTCCGAAGGGCCGGCCTCCTGCTGTCCGAACGAACTGATCAAATCCAACAGGTTGTCGTCCTCTTCCTCGGCCTCCGCCTGAGCCGCCTCGGCCTCGGCCGTCTTCTCGGCCTCGCTCCCAGCAGGGGCGGTGTTGGTGTCGAACCCGCGACCGAACTTGGCACGGAAGGCCGCCAGGCGTCCGGCCTCGTCCTGCTCCAGGCTGGCCAGCCGGCTGGACGAGGGGTTCCACATGACGGAGTTGCGCGTGTCGCGGGTGGAGCGGTAGATGGGGAGCGGGGAGGAGGTCCGGTGCGTGAAGGTGCTGCCGTCGGACAGGGTGATCAGCTGCGTGAACTGGTAGGGCCGCTTGGGGCGGCGCAG